AAAAAAAAAAAAAAAAAAATTAGCTCCATTTCTCTGCTTCACCAACCCTCTGTACTGCTTTCCCTAGACATTTATAGCCTCACTGATGGCCTGTGAAATAAACCTTATTATGTTGCGCTTTCCATAAAACACACAAATGGCTTTCCATCACCAACAAAACCTGATGTACAGAACCAAGCGGAGTGCAAAACTTACCTGCAACCCGCCTGCTAGCTTGGCCTCCAGAAGGAACAGATGAGTCCCTTCCTGGGGGGCTGGCCTGGCAAACGGGGCCAGGTAGGAAAGAAGGAGGAAGACTCTCAGGACACAAAGGGGTGGGGAAGTGTGGGGGTATAGGTGTGGGTGTGTTGCTAGGAAGACCACCGGTTAGCCTGTTTCCTGTTCTCCCGAGGATACATAGGTCACTACAGCTTTCCAGATAAAAGGTGTCAGTGGTCACAGCGCCATCTAGTGACAGCACCAGGGATTTCTCAGCATTGCTGAAATCTTGAAATACGATTCGAAAGCTCTCAAGGTTGTCAAAACAGGGCTTTGAGTGTTTGTGTCCCAAAATGATATGGGCTTGCAGATCAATAATTGCTTTCTATTTCTCTAACTACCTGTTACCAAGAATAACGTGACAGATTTGTCAGTGATGACCTGATCCTACCATCTCTATGCTGCCTGAGAGCTATGATTCAGAGACACCCAAAATGCTTACTTTGGTGACTATGTGATCATGAGTTCCTTGTAGCCTTAGATTTGAAAAACATAGTAGTTCTCCTTTGGCCTTTATTACCATCCTGCTTAAGTGCTAACTTGCCTCTGGAAAGAACTATGCACACACATATGTACTCCCTTCTGTAATCTCCTGTTCCAGAAAGTTCCCTGTGCCTCTTTCTAGGCATCATCCCACCTGCTACCAGCATAGACCAATTTTTTCTGCTCCTCAACTTCAAATAAATAAAATCATATAGTACGTTTTTGTGTCTACGTAATCATATTACTTATATAGGAATGAATCACATATATACATATATAGTAATTCATTTCTTTAAATTGCTGTGGAGGATTCCATCCCGTGAATACACCACAGTCTGTTTGTCCACTCTTCTGTGGATGGGAATCTGGGTTGTTGCCAGTTTTCAGGCGTTACAACTAAAGTGGCTATGAGCATTCTTGTACAAGTCTTTTTGGGGCATGTTTTCATTTCTTTTGGGCAAAGACCCAGGAGCAGAACTGCTGAGTCATAGGGTGGGTGTTTACTTAACTTTATAAGAAAGTGCCAAATCATTTTCTAAAATGATTGTGCCATTTCATATCCCCACCAGAGATAAGAAGTTATTTTCTAAATTACAGTTTGAACAGTGACTAACGAAATGTTTAACAAAATTTTTTCATAATTTTATATCAGTATCCAGCACTTATTGCATTATATTGCTTGCCAGTCTCCAAATAGATTCTTAAAGCTACGGAGTAACATTACACAACACCGGTCTTGGCTCCCCAGTCTCCCTGGGATGGCAAGGTAGGGTGGGAAGGGCTTATTCACCAGACTGCTGCTCCGGTGCCCACTTCGTCTGAATCAAGCGTCTCGGTTACTTAAATGCCCTAAGTCTCAGTTTCCTCATCTGGAAAATGTGGACACAGCAACACTGAGCTCACAGAGTAGCTGGAAGAATTATACGGGATATTGGGATGGGGCTGGGATAACGTAGATTTGCAAGTCGGTGGAGTCAAAATCCTCAGAATCGTCCTTGACTCTCCCCCTTCTTTTGTCCCCAACACCAACCCTGGCAACCTGCCCAGGGCACTCTCAATCCATCTGCAGCTCACCGCTCCCACGGCCTTTCCCTGGGCCAGGTCCCCCACCTGCCTGGATCTTCATATGGGTGGGTATGCCCTGCGAGGCAGTTCACCTCACAGCTCCAGTGTCACCTGACCCCTCCGGCCACCCAACCTAAATAAGACCCCCACCTACCATGTTTCTTTCTTTCCTATCACCTGCATTTATTTCCTTCGTGGCAAATGTTTTCTGTCTGAAATGATCAGGTTTGTTTGTTTCTCCATTTGTTTTCAGTGGCCCCAAACGGGAATGTAAACTCCATAAGAATAAGCGTCTTCTCTCGCCTGTTCACCACTCTACTGTGAATGCCATGAACGGTGCGGGGCACAGATCACATGCTCAGTACATATGAGTAATATGAATGGTAATGGCATTACTACGAACAATCTAATCAGACAGACCAAAGAATCTTGTGTTTTTTTTAGACTCTAAAGGTGTCCCACTTCCAGGTGCAGAATAAAGTAACGAGAACAGATTATTAAGGGGGTGTTGTTTCCTATGAGCAGCTATGCATCTGGTTAGAGTTCAGATTTGGAGACGGTAAAGTGAAAAATGAGAATGGTGAGACTGTGTTTACGAAGCAAGGAGACTGCCTGAGATTTGTCTTCTGAGGGGTTTTCAAATGCTGCGGAATCCAGAATATGGCCAGATCTTTGGATCCCGAATGCACCCTGCAAGTCTGCAGGTCCCTAAATCCTGCAAATGTAGTGGTGAGTCACCCATCCATCTGGGGTCTGGCATCCCCTCACTGCCGTCCAGTCTTCCAGATGCCCTCCCAGGGAGAGAGAGAGACTTGGTTCAGTTTAAGATACACACCCAATCAAAGTTACAAAGAAACACACGAATGAGAAGAGAAATGACTTCAATCTGGCTATCTGTCATTGGAAAATAAGAAAGATAAGAAAAAATGAAGTCAGAACTCATGACTGCAAGGTCTTAGAAAATGACATTAGGTAAAGTCTGAAGCAGTGTAAGTTAGCAGCAATGAGTTCTGAGTTTGACCTCTCGGCTGAAAAAATTCTGCCTTCACACTGGGAGGATTTATATCTTGGAAACAGTTTCACTATCATCCATTGTAGCGCCAAACTTAAAGCAGAAATTCAAGGAGTACCACCTGGACTCTACCTTTAAATGTAATATAACAAAGACAACTCCTTGAATAAAGCAAGTGATGCAGAAATGTGTGTGTTCAATGACTTTGAGGAGCAGGATCAGATAAGGATCCGTCACGTTTTAGAGTCTAAATGTCCATTTCCGAACGAAGGGGTAAAAATGGTTTTCTTTCCTCTGAGTCAACAGCATTTCTGGACACGTTTCCTTCTTTTGTTCCATTGCCATGTGGTCTAAACACCACTCCCGTGGGGACAGGTTGAATCATTAGTTTAACGAACAGTCACTGACCGCCCACCGTGCCCCTCTGGGCCAGGCGCTGCCCCAGGTGCTGCGGCAGGTTAGTGAAACAGAAATCCCTGCACGTGAACCTCATGTACCAGCGATTCCGTGGTCTCTCCAATGTCCGCCAGCAAATGGCAGGTGAGGCAGGGACTCTGAGCCTCCCATTCGGTGTGGCTGGCTCTAAAAAGCAAAGGACTTGTTCCCAGGTTATATTCCTCATTAAGCCTTTTAGGAAGCTTACTTCTGTTTGATAGAGAAAAAAGCATTGCTTAGGAGTCTGACCTAGAGCTAGATATATACATTTGTTCTAATTATATAGGCAATTAAAATGTACATTGTTTTAAAATAGAAGAGGCAGAGAAAATAAAAAATAATTCCACCTACAAAAAAACGTAATTATATTTTGGTGTCTTTCTTTTCGCTTTGTTAATGGAAGTGTGTTTATCTACATATTACATGTAAATGTCTCTGTTTCTCTCAGTCAACAGTAAGGCTTTCTTCACACGAGAGATAAGAATACATGTATAATTTATATGGATGTATACATATATACATGTACTATACACAGGTGTCTATTATATGTATTTAATCTATACATATACACATATAAACACAGATATGTTAATATATGTGTATATATTATATAATATACAATGCACTGAATATATACATATATGAGTATTAACACACAATGTATTAAATTTATACAGTACATATACAAGCCCATTCTACATTTCAGAGGCAGAACCTGGTGCTGAATTGTATCAATCATACATGTGCACATGATATGTATATATGCACATATATTAATGCATACACATATACACATGTGTCCTATATGTTCCTACATTTATATGCTCCCACATAATTACTTACTTGTTGATTGTACCCACTATAGTCAAGTCCTGGCAAGAAGAAAGCCCTGCAGCTGGGTAACAGGACAGAGGGAACCCAGCTCTTGCGGGATTATCACAAGAGGGAAAAATCTGCTCATTGTGTGGATGGACCTTTTTAGGTCAAAGGAACTTAGCAGGAGACGAACCGTACTTGGGGCTCCCCAGACTGTTCTTTTGGCTCCTTGAGTGCCCCCTGCTGGCCTGGGGCCCCCTCGGGCCTGCTCCCTGCAGGTAAGAGGCCTGCCTGCCCTAGGGGCCCTGCTGGACACAGCCCCAAGCCTCAGTGGACGTTCCTGAGTCGGAATGGGATTTCTCAGCAGCGGGTGGAGGAGTACTGGGGGTCACAATGGGACAAGGCCGTTCTCCACTTCAGAGGCAGAACCTGGCGCTGAATCAGGCTCCCCTAAGTCTCAGGAGAACCGTAAAGATCACCGGGGTGACCCCAGGCCTTCAGCCCCTCCGCATCCCAGGCGTCTCCTATCACGTTGGGGAGAAGCTGACATGGCTGGACGCCCTGGGGCCTGCTCGCCTCCCAGGGCGATGCAATACCTCCAGCCTCACAGCCAGGGCCTGGCACTGACCTCGCCCTGGTGAAAAACACGCAACAAGTGATCCGAAGGGGCCCTCTGTCCCCTAAGAAACGAAGCCACGTGTGGGAGCTGGCCAACGCGCCCGGCCTCGCTCACGAGCCTTTGGCTGGCTGCCTGCCTGGAGGGGTGGGTCGGGGCCTGGCCCACTGCTTCCCACCCAGTGAACGGCTCAAGCAAAATGTGGCCCAAGAGCCTACCTGGCACCCAATGCACACGTGGTGCCATCCTGGGCATCTTCCGGCCCTCACAGCAGCCTCGCCCACCGCAGATGGTACACAGGAATTTCTATGTTCTTTGAAATGGGTGGCAGAGAGGTCAGGGCAGCTGCTCAGCGGCCCTACGACAGCCCGAACCCGGCCCAGACACGGGGCCTCTTACCGGGGGGGTCGAATGGGGTGTAGGGCCCTTCGTCACCCTCCTCGTCTTCCCCGTTGTCTTCGTTCTCGGTCTCGGTCTCGTCGCCGGCCTCGGCAGCAAGGTCGTCCCTCCGCGTCCCATTCACGCCCCTGTCTGGGGCACTGCCGGGCCCCGTCCCGTTCTCCACCGGGTGCTTGACTGGGATTTTGATGGCCACCTCGGACTCCCCATTGGTGTAGGCCCTGCTGTTTATCAGCCTTTGTCTCTGGAAAGAGAAAGGCACACTTGCCACGGGCGGATGGGCTGGAAAGCCTTACACACACCCAGGGCCCCGGCTACTGGGACCTCCAGGCAGCCGACGGGAAGGTGCGATCAGAACCCACGGCAGTCAGGTCTCAAGGGATCCCTCAGGGTAACGACCAGCTCGGACAAGCTCCTCCTGGGAGGGGGATTCGCCTTCAGGAGCCACTGGGCCTGCAAATCACTCCAGAGGAACATGCCCCTGGCTTGGATGCACGCTCCTTTTCTACCAGGGTTCCTGATTCTCTGTGCACTGTGGTGTAATCTGTCTTTTCCAGACTTCAGGAATCTCTCGGTCCATAGGTGGGAAAGCCACCCACATGGGTTTGGACCAGTGCACCAATAAGGCTGCCACTCCAGAGAAAGGAATACACAGGAAAATTCAGGGCAGAGGCTCGGCGTTATTTTAAACTAAAGCACCTGGGGTTAGCCACTACCTCTGTGCAAGTTCATTCCCATTAGAGGGCGCCATCCAAATGGCAGGTGGAAAGAAAAAGGCACCTAGGAAAGGAGGGGAGAGCTTTGTCCGCATAACCGGGAGCTGGCCCAGGTCTGTCAAAATGTGGAGGGGGAGCAAGGACCCGCACGCACAGCTGGCCCGGCGAGCAACGGTGCTGTGGAACGGCTGAGGGATATTCCTGCGTTAAATGCCGAGTTAGGTGTTTCTACTTTCAGACCAGGGAACTTTCTCTCCTTCCTAGTTTCCCACCCCTGTCCAGCGGCAAACGGGCTGTGCTTTCTCAGGTACCTCATTGATCAACATGCGACTGGCCATGGAGAGTCTGGTCTTGGGGGGGAAGTGGCTGGTGATCATGATTCGAAGGCCAGCCTCGGAGAAAGACAGCTGGTGTGGGTAGGCCGACAGCAGCTCGTCCACCATGATCACTGACGCTTTGCGGTGGAAATTGGCTAGGAGATGAACAACAGAGAAGAAAAACGCTGACGCTAGGGGCAGGAGAGAGATATTCATTCAGTCTTCCCTCCCTC